GGGGGGGGGAGGGAGGGGGAAAGAAGAAGAAAAGAGTTTCAATTTCTCTTCGAAAGTTCTTCGTCCGATCGAGGATGACTTCGCGACAAAGTGGATGCGAGACGGACGCGGAAAGGCGCGAAAAGAACAAACGCGTTGAAGCGCACCTTCGTTAAACGGGGATATAGGGTAGCAGCGTCAACGACGTGCATGAATTTTTGATGCCGGCGTGTAAGCGTGGCAGGAATTTCAAGCAAAACACACCGACCGCCGTCGCGTATGAATTTTTAAATTCAAAGCTCGCGATCGCTCGTATCGTTTCACGACTCGGTCGCTTCTTCGTCCCGCGAATCGTACGAGCGAAAAGAGCGTCAGGCATCATCAGTCGTGAAAAGTATGAAAGTATATGGAACGATCGTTTCTTTTGACGAAGGGACAGGCGAGAGAGAGAGAGAGAAGATTTTACGAACACCCGGTATTTTGCGGTGTAACGCGCGTACATGCACCGCGGTGCAGCCTATGTACGTGAACAAACGCACACAAGCACGACGCCAGTGAACCGAGCATTATAGTGCCCTGCAAGAAACGTCGGCCTGGTGCATTGACCGCGGTTGACCACACGTCATCGAATGAGTGACGTCACACAGAGTTCGCAGCATGAAAGCTACGTCATGGTTGGTTGCATTCTTTGAAGACGCATCCGCGAAAATATATTCCCCTCTTTCTCCGCGTTTCGGGCGCTTCTTTTCCTTTGCCGTGTTTAGCGCCGGAGCAGTGTTTCCCTCCGTTTTCCCTCTCGCCGTCGAACTTTCTTCCGCGTTCGTGCGCAACTTCGACGCCTTTTAATAAAGTCGCTCGCGGATGTCGTGAATTCGATATTAATATTCGGAACTACCGACGATTAAAATTTTCCAACAGAGACACTGAAGACAAAAAAGAATTGTCTAACGCTTTTACTTGTATATTCTATGAACAATTGTTTAAATCTTTAGAAATGTAACACTGTTTTTACGCCTGTAAAATGTCTAGCGAAAATTACAAATTGGTCATTCCGATGACTTTGGTAGTTCTAGTGTTGAAAAGAGGTGAAGAAGAACAGAAGAATCGTATCGGTCGTGCAGGATGGATAATAGACGCGAACGCGGAGTGAACCAATTGCTATTCCTTAATTATCATCATAGGTTAAACCGAGCCGAAGGCGCGTGTTTCGTCTCGAGGAGAAACGGTCGAAACGGATGACTTATCGCGCTTATGGCGGCTGGCTAAATAATTTTTTACAGCACGTGTAACTTCCAATTCATCACGGTCGACCGCGGGCTATACGGTACGCGCATGAATAGTTAACGAACGGGCGTAGGAGGACCAAGATTTTCCTCCGACGACTATGCGCACGATGTACCTGCGAGTATAATAGCTCGGTTATACATAGAGCCACGGTTATACCTTTCTGAAGAGTATATGTAAGTGCGGGCGAGTTCGTTCCCTCGAACGAGTAAATCAAGTCGCTGGTCCGCGAAGCGGCTGAATGCCGCGAGCTCGTAAGACTGGCCAAGAATGGTTCGATATTTTTGCCAGTCCCTTGATCCATTCTTGCCGCGCATCCGCACTATTCATCCCGATATTACTGGTAGCGTTCTCTTCGAACGAGAACCAGTCAGCTCTGTTTATTTCTCTCTCTCACTCTCTTAACGATAACCTTAGGAGAATTTGCAATTCAAGCTCCAGTAGAATTTTCTAATCGTAAAGAAAAAAAAGAAAAATTTTACATTTTACCCGAATGAAACTTACTAGACAGATGAACAATTTCTCATCGAAGACAAATTGCGAATTATCTCGATAAGCGATACACTGTGATTTTTTTTTTTTTTTCTTCGAATAGATACTCGAGCTTATTTTACTCTTATCTTACGAAGAGTTTCTATCGCGTGTCTCTCGTTTCTCGTTCTCTCATTTTTATTCGTTTAAACCTATAAGCATCTCGAGCTTGGAACGTTTGGCTCGAAACGATCGAATCGATACCGGGGGGACCGTTTAAGCGACTGCATCGGCTACAACGTGCAAGGAGGTAGCGAGGAGCTACGAGAAAGTATCTGGCAACTTTCTCCAGCGGGTTTAGTTTGCACCACGGGTCACCAGGCACGGACATTAAAAGCGAACAAACGCGAGCGTATTTTCCGAGAGAGTCTACCATCGCGGTGGCGTTTTCAATTCGTACGTTTTTTTGGAGCAATTCAAATTGAAAAAACTTCTCCCCCCCTCCCAGTTAAAAATTAATCGCAAAAAGGATTTCATTCGGGGAGGGGGGGGGGGCAAAATACATACGTCGCACAGAACTGGACGTGAATCGACTGAAGTCGCGTCTGTGAAAGCACAATGACACGCGTGAATTCCAAGGACCGTGGTTACGAGCCATTGAACAGGTAGATCGAGTGCCAAGAACGAGATTTTGAAAGTCTCGCCGCGACGCCGGTACGATTAACGTTGATAATGGCTTCCGAATGCCAAGCAGCACCAGGCGTTCGTTTTCTTCCGCCAGCGACACGGCAATCCGCTTAAATTGAATCGACTTTGCTCGCGGATCCATCTCGCTGAGCGTGCGACTTAATTATCATTTTTATACGGGGAAGTCGTTGGATCGAAAGTTCGCTTCTTTGCAAAGTGACGGAGAAGTGGACCTGATTTTTCACGATTTCCTCTCCTTCTTCAAATGGCAATGCAACACAGTCGCGCGAATTGAGATTCGATCCCTCTTAACGTTCCCCTCAGAACTACCAAAAGCGATCAATTTATAATTTTTCCTAGAAATTTTATAGATATAAAACACGGTATTTGTTCAAGCCATTTTCTATGATTTTGTATAAAAGACGTTAGGCATCCACACACAGGAATTTATTATTCTATTTAGATATGTTTGAATAACCTTAAGAAGTCTTAACGTTCTATCGCGACTATTGTATGGTATGATCACTTATTGCTTTCACGGCCTCTGATCCGCGTTTCTGTTAGATTTAGATTGGCATCGATCATCCTC